CTCGGCCCACTGGGTACACTGGCTCTTGGATCTCTAAGGAGGTGCTAATTTAGCCTCTTCCTGAGGCTACCCAGCAGGAGCTACGGAGAGATCTGCAGATTCCTCTTTGCTTGGGATTTGGAGGTGCCCAGATGAGGCCCAGCTGTGAAGCAATGCAAGCTGCTGTGGGGTCTTGGGCCTTCTTTTGGATGTCTGGGTCTTTCTGACCCAGCTGCAGGTTGTTAGGTAATTTTCAGCTTGCGAAAGGCCAGGCCTTTCATATGCAAAAGCCTCTGCACACAGCTTGGGTAGGGCGGGGTCTCAGGGAATCAACAGGGTAGAGCAAACAGCTATGGCTGATCCTCAGTCCTACCCTAAGAGGCCTTGTGTCTCAGTGTCCTGCGGTAATCACTGAAAGCACCTCTGAGAGAAAGCCGCCCTCAAGTTCCAACCAATGCCAGAGAGTCCAGTTTCTCCTTGTATGAGTCTGGGTCCCCAGAGACTCGCCAGGAACTGGAGTTCAGAGCAGTCGGGAGCTTGTAACTCACTCCCGATTGAAAAAGACAACTGTGTACTCAGTTGCCAGCCTTTTCCACGTGCGCCTTCGTACCTCTGCACTTTACTTCTGCACCTCCTCTGAGTCTCAGTGAGCTTTTCTCTTTCCTTCTAGTTGTAGAATTTCCACTCAGCCAGCCTTCCTGTGGTTCTGGATGATGTTTGTTTTGTCTTTTCGTTGTATTTTTGAAGTGGTTGTGCGAGGCAGCAATTTCAGATGTTTTCCTATGCCACCATCTTGGTTTCATCTCTGCATTTTATTTTTAAAAAGATCATACATTATGATTTATTCTGGGGATACAAGGTTGGTATAATGTTTGCAAATCAATAATGTGATACATCACATAAACAAAATGAAAGATAAAAATCACATGATCATATCAATAGATACAGAAAAAGCATTTAATAAAATCCAACACTCACTTATGATAAAAACTCTCAGCAAAGTGGGAATAGAGGGAGCATACCTCAACGTAATAAAGGCCATATATGACAAACTACAGCCAACAGAATAAATTTAACCAGGGATTTATAAGACCTGTACTGGGAAAATTATAAAACACTGAAAAAGAAAATGAAGAAGATATAAATAATTGGAAGCATAAACTGTGTTCATGTAAGGGAAGAATTAACATCATTAACATGTGCATACTACCCAAAGTAATTTATATATTCAACTCAATTCCTATCAAGATACCAATGGCATATTTCACAGAACTAGAACAAACATTCAAAAAATGTCTATGGAACCACAAAAGACCCCAGTAGCCTCAGCAATCTTGTGAAAAAAGAACAAAGTTGGAGGAATCACGCTGCCTGATATCAAATATACTACCAGACCATAGTAATCAAAACAGCATGGTACTAGCATAAAAACAGATATATAGACCAATGAAACAGAATAGAAATCCCAGAAATAAACCCATGCCTTTATGGTCAATTAATATTTGACAAAATAAGCAAGAACATACAATGGGGTAAATATAGTCTCTTCAATAAACAGTGTTCTGAAAATTGGGTACATACATGCAAAAAAACACACGAAACTAGACCACCGTTTTACACCTTACACAAGAATGAACTAAAAAAAAAAAAAAAAAGAATGAACTCAAAATGGATTAAAGAGTTAAGTGTTAGACCCAAACCCATAAAAATCCTAGAAGAAAACATGGGCAGTAAAATCTTGCACATTTCTCATAACAATATTTTTTTCAGATATTTCTCCTCAGGCAAGGGAAAGGAAAGAAAAAAAATAAACAAATGAGACTATTTCAAACTAAAACATTTTTGCACAGCAAAGGAAAGCATCTACAAAATGAAAAGACAATCCACTAAATGAGAGAACATATTCACCAATGATGTGTCTGATAAGATCGGTGAAAAAGGTGAAGGGATTAAGAAAAAAACAAACTTATAGACACAGACTACAGTATGGTGATTTCCAGAGGGAAAGTGAGGTGGGGGAAGATAGAAGA